ACGATGTGGGTACGATGCTTAGGAATACCAAATAAGAGAAAACAGAATAAAGTATTTAAAATTCCTTAAAACAACAACAACAAAAAAGATGTAAGGTGACACAGAATGCTGATTGCGGAACTGAAATTACTTAGACTTTGGCCCTCCCGGCCTGATGCTTCCTAGGCCTTTCAGGAGCAGGGAGACCCTGCGTGAGATGTTTGTATGGTAAAGACAGGCTTTTTATAGTGTAGGTCTGAGGTAAGCATCCAGTGAATAGAAGATGAACCCTTCTGTCAGGTGACCTGTAGCCATTGGTCCCATTTGGAATCTCAAGCTCTTGCTTAGGTCTGATTTACTTTCTGTTTTGTATCACATAATTAACACCCAAAAAGCCACCTAAGTGCCTATTTTTTAGGTGTTTGTGGAGGTGCTCTAAGAAAAGTCAAGTGAGAAGGGTGAAGAACAGGGAAGGGAAGGTATGTTCTGCAGATTAAGACTGCATTTTTTTTTTTTGGCTAGGAAAAATAGGATAAAAAAATAGTTGAGCAACTCTGGACCAGTGTTGTGTTTTTCAAGTTTCTTGTTGAGTTGTCAGTGCTCCCTGTTTGTTACCTGGATACCTGACTTGGTGAGGCAGTAAGAAGATGCAGGAAATGGAGGCCCTCACAGATCCAGGAGACCTGACAGCTCAGCTGAACCAAGCCTGCCTGCCAGTCTGGAGTTGTCTGGTGCTCCACGGCATCATCTCCAGCAGTACAACATCTCCTGGCACACATTCTCCCCACTCTCATCCCACCCTTTTTTTTGGGGGGGGACGGTAGTGGGGGGCTGGGGGGCTGGTCTCAAGGGCACAGTAGTGAAAGGTTTCTTTCTGGATGCAGTTTCTCTTAGTGCTAAGAAAGTCTTGAGTTCAGACTATTCTTAGAAGCGTTTGTGCTTTCTCCTGGTTCTCTGGACCAGTCTTCCTGAATATTAGACTTGACCAGAAGCCACTTACGTTGCCTGCCTGATGTGAAAAGAATTTTAGAAGATCCCCACCTTCTTCAATCTACCTTATTTCTCTGACTGCTCTAAGACTTATTTGGAGGGCAGGGGTATTTCCTATCTGATTGCCAGAAGACTAAACAATTTGAGCAACATTCACCTGTTTGTGAGGCATAATGAAAAATAATAGCAATAATACCTCTACTTTGTTTTATATGTTCTATAATACATGTATATAATATATGGATTATATATGAATGTTTATATTTATATATTTATCTCATATTTAAGAAAGCATATACAAAATAATACTACTCTTATTCTCAAGATAACCCTGCTCATTAAGATTTATTCCAATATACAGAGAGCAAAAGATTAGAGTGTGGAAGTAACCTGTTTTAAGATCAAATAGCTAATAAGGCACAGAACTAGAATTTTAAGTCACCTATTGCCATTACTAAAAAAAAAAGTTTCCTTTTTATTACTTATTCCTTTTTCCCATTCAGCTTTAGATGAGAATATATGCACAAAATAAAAGGAAAAATAATCTGAGGAGGTTTACCGATTGAAACTTTCACATTCAGCTGGTAGGATTATAAGTTGGTATAACCACTTAGAAAAACTATAGTATCTACTAAAGCTGAATATAAATATATATATGTACATACACACACATATATATATATACATTCTATGACCTAAAAAATAGACTCCCAAGAATTTCCCAACAGAATTATGTTTGTACACCAAAAGTCATTTACATAATGCTCAGAGCAGCAGCATCTATTATAGCTAAAAACTAGAAACAACAAATGTTCATCTATAGTAGAAGAGAAATAAAATGTGATTTTTCATATAATGCTGTGGAAAAGAACCACCTTCTACTACATCTAACAAAATGGGTGACATCCTAATATAATGTGTTAAAATATATAAGTTCATATGGTGGATCAAGGATATAACAGGCAGGGCACTTCTTGTGCTTGCAAGGAGGTCTGGGTTTCAACCCCCTGGCACATAGTCCCACAAGCACTAAACACTGCCAGGAACAATCTCTGAGCACAAAGCCTGGAGTGACCCCTGAACACCTCTGAGTATGGTTCCAAACAAAAGTGTTTCCATGTAGAGTTCAAAAACAGATGAATTCTAATTTATAGATTAGAAGTTAAAATAGTGGTCATCATTAGATTTGGAATGAATGATGAAAGTTAGTTACACAAGAAAGACTTAGGGGATGCCAGTAGCTTTCCATGCCATGATCTCATGTCTGGAATACAGCTTAGCAGTGGAGTACTTGCCTTACATGTTTGAAATCCTGGGTTCAATCTCTAGTACCACAAAATATATAAATAGATTAAATACTTTATGTAGTCATGGTCTCAAAGACGGTTATTCTGATGTGACTTGTGTTTACTTTGTAAACATTCTGATTTGTATACTTTTATACTACATGTATATTATATTTAAAAAAACTATTTCCCACCACCACTACATACAAATTCTCTGAAAAGCCAATAATGAAAATTACTGCTCATCAGATGTCTTTTAAATCCTGCTTTCTTCATCTATAAAAGGTAGAGAACATAAGAATATGCTTCATTGTTTTGGGGGGAGGAGTCATATAGAAGTCACAACAGGTAAATGACAGAATGGCTAATAAATATCAGCAGTGGTAATTAGTTCTCAGCATTGTGTAGACACTTTATATACGCCAAATCATCAGATTCTTCTTTCCACCTTGCAAAGCAGGTGTCATGAGTCCAGTTTTTTTAAATGAGAAAACCTAAGACTCTTAGAGTTGAAGTTACCCTTGCCCAAGGTCATAGAGCTAGTGAAAGACTGAACATGATTCCATTTCTAAGGAGTTGATCAGTTTCAGAGGAGATGGAAAACATTTATCTTAAAGGACAAGTAAGGAATGATGCTAGAATAGAATGGAAATGTGGAACTGATGGGCTGCATTTGGGGCAGGAAACCTGGGTGCAGGCCCAGACTCTGCCCTACTTTCCTGTGATGACAAAAAAAAAAGTCGCTGAATATCTCTGAAATTCATCTCAAACATGAGAGTTTTGAACTAGATTTTAATTCCCTTAAGTGCCTTTGGTGCTGCAGTTTTGTGACTCACCGTGTTTGTCATTCCATACAGAGCATCTTCATGACCTGACTTCATGAACTAAAATGCATTTTCCACCTAGAATCTTATTGCAGTATTATCTCATCACTTCCCCTCTCTCTACTTTTCTATAGCACTGCACTGTAGCACTGTCTTCCCAACGTTCATTGATTTGATCAAGCGGGCCCAGTAACGTCTCCATTGTGAGACTTGTTACTGTGTTTGCATATCAAATATGTCACGGGGAGCTTGCCAGGGTAGCTTGCCAGGCTTTGCTGTTCAGGCGAGATACTCTCAGTTGCTTGCCAGGCTCTCCGAGAAGGGCGGAGGAATCGAACCCGGTTCCACTGGGCCGGCTGCACTCAAGGCAAACGCCCTAACGCTGTGCTAACGCTCCAGCCCCACAGTGCTACAACCCTGAACGCGCCTGATCTCCTCTGATCTAGGAAGCTAAGCAGGGTCTGGCCTGGTTAGTACTTTTCTATAAGTAGGGCTAATTGCTCTTCTAGTACATGCTATTGTCCTGCAAGCTATTTACCTCAGTGTCCTTTAGAAACTCCTTGAAAGTAGAGATTAAGAGATATTTTTCTCAAACTAGGGAGGAAACTCAAAGGTTAGAGAGTACACTTGATGTTCATGAAACCAGAATTTGATTCCCTGCATCCATTCTCCCTGCTCCTAGCACCAATAACTGCAGCCTTGAAGGCCTGTATAAAAATAAATAAATGAAAAAAGGGGACCACAAGCATAGTATAGGGTTTAAGGCATTTACTTTGCAGGCTGCTGACCCAGGTCCAATCCCTAGCATTCTGTATGATGCCCTGAGCACCACCACTAGTGATCCCTGAGCATGGAGCCAGAAAATACTCCCGAGCACTGCCAGATATGGCCCCAGAACCAAAACAGTCTTACTATAACAACAACAACAACCAAAATCACAGTCAAACCTAACAGAATCCAATAACTGGAATCCATAGATTTTAGTAATTATGTATTTTATTTCATCTCTTTATTCCTTTGTGGGCCCACTCGAGCAAATCGATGAACAATGGAAGGACAGTGCTACAATTAATTTTTACTGTTCTTAAACATATCTATAATTTTTATTATCTTCAAAAATGAAAACAGACAGTGCTACAATTCCTTTGTATGTTCACACATTCATGAAAAATCTTTGGTTGATTAAACATTTAAATCCAAAGAGAATTCTTTTTGAGCTATCTGTATTAGAACTAAGGTAGACACTAGCTAGAACTTCTTCATATATTTTCAGTTTTATAAAGTTCTGGAAAAACAGTAAAAGAGTGTCCAGGGTAGGGAGAAAAATCATTAGATGGCTTTGCTGCTTCCCAGAATGTGCTTATGAAATTTGAAGTTTGATCAGTGATTCAGCACCAGTGAAAATCTAAACCCTTCCCTATATGGATCAGCCCCCGTTTAATTTAGTGTCATTTTTACTTTATGAGATAGTTAATAAACAGGTACTGTATTTGATCTTGTGAGCATAGCCCTCTATATTTAGCTTTTTCAGCTTTAATGGAACTATAATTTTAATCATGATTATTACTTTACATTTTAATTATAATTTGGTGTGGCTTAAGTATACATTTCTGAGAGTGATTGTGTAATGAAAACAGGAATTAGCTTTTCATTAACAAAATAATGGGAGAGTTCCCACTGCATTCTAGTCTGTGTTCAAAATCTATGGGCTGGCCTAAAAATAGCAAGGGGAGTTTAACATTTTGGTTAAAAACATGCTTCTAAATTGGCTGTGTTCACAATCCAGACTCTAATGCTCCATCTTGCTTTATCTTGTTCTCTTTTCTTTCAAAAAGTAAAATAAAATAAAATTATTAAGTGGACTTTAATTGTGTCTTGGAATTTTAAAAGGCTTATTTTTATTTTTTTTATTTTTATTTAGATAATTAGCACCATGGAGCCTCAGGTGTCAAATGGCCCAACATCCAATACAAGCAATGGACCCTCCAGCAACAATAGAAACTGTCCTTCTCCCATGCAGACAGGGGCAGCCACAGATGACAGCAAAACCAACCTCATAGTCAACTATTTACCCCAGAATATGACCCAAGAGGAATTCAGGAGTCTCTTTGGGAGCATTGGTGAAATAGAATCCTGCAAACTTGTGAGAGACAAAATTACAGGTATGCTCTTCAATATTCTAGGTGGGATTCACAGCAGTGTTGTGCTGTTACATATGCAGATCTTAACAGAAATGCACATGCTTGGGAATGCATTTGAGTGTCCATAGCGTCTCTCATACTCAAGGACAACATGGGTACATTGTCATGAACTCACACTATGCAAAACCTTCTAACAGATTAGTAGAATTGGAAAATCAAATATACGTTTTGAAACTTCCTCCTTTTTATTTTATGTGAAATAATCCTTCGGTTTTATCCCCTTTATTCATAATCAGCCACCCTTGCCTTCTTTCCCTTTGTTCTTTAGTTTTCAGTTCTGCCTTGTGATCCACGTTAGTCTGCATAATCTTTGCCTTTCAAACATTTGATTTGTGTGTGTCCAGTCTGACACAGTGTCTTAAAGAGGGCCACGGCACACTTGTGTTTGGGGGATATAGCTGCACATTTTCTCTGGGAGAAGTATTGCTGAAGAATAGCAGATTACTCTGGAATAAAACGACTCTCCAGTAGGAGGGAGGTGCTTGGTGAAGATCTGCATTTAAGTTATTTTATTTTCTTTGCTTTGCTTTAAAGATTAAATTGAGAGATCAGAGACTTATAACTTGATGTGAAACATTTTACTTCAAGATTTGGCTTATAGCTCCAGTATGAAATATTTTTCCTAACCAACAGTCATTCTTTGAGGACCTAAAGTTTACCAGATACTGCTGCTATAGTCCTTTGTGAGAAGTTGTCCTGTAATTTTATTGAAAGTAAGGCTCCTTATTTAGTGGCGTGCTGATGGGCGGGTCACACTGGACAGTGCTCAGAGCTTCCTCCTGACTCAGGAATCACTTATGGGTTGTGCCGGGGAATGAATTTGAATAAGCTGCATGCAAGGCTAGTGAATTACCCTATTTATTATCCCTCTGTCCGGCTATTTTCTGGCTCTCTGCTCAGGAATGAACCCTGGTGGTGCTCAGGGGACCTATGGATTGCTGGATATTGAATCAGGATTAGCCACATGCAAGGCAAGAACCTTAACCCCTGTACTGTCTGTATGCACTGTAGCACTGTCCTCCCTTTGTTCAGCTATTTGCTCGAGCATAACATCTCCATTGCGAGACTTGTTGCTACTGTGTTTGGCATATCGAATACATCACAGTAGCTTGCCAGGCTTTGCCATGTGGGCAAGATACTCTCGATAGCTTGCCAGGCTCTTCGAGAGGGGCAGAGAAATCGAACACGGGTCAGCCGCGTGCAAGGCAAATGTCCTACCCGCTGTGCTATTGCTCCAGCCCACTGTCTATATAAGGCCAGGAAATAAGACTGTTTCCTTAATAATAAAAAAAAAAAATTAGACTGCATCATAATGGCTATGAAGCATGCTCCTAAAATTATTCATATTAACTTCAAATATTTCTTGGTTTTGAATGCTGGCTTTTGTCATTTCTGTGGAAAATTTAGCTGGTAATTTTTTTCCAATAAAGAAAAAAAAAGAAAGTAGGTGGATTCCACTCTGGAATTGTCCACATTCCAAAAAGGAATGTGTAATTTCTTTCTTTCCTTTCTTTCTTTCTTTCTTTCTTTCTTTCTCTTTCTTTCTTTCTTTCTTTCTTTCTTTCTTTCTTTCTTTCTTTCTTTCCTTCCTTCCTTCCTTCCTTCTTTCTTTCTTTCTTTCTCTCCCTTTCTCTTTCTTTTTTGCTTATTTAATTAAAGAACTATGATTTACAAAGTTTTTGATAATTGAGTTTTGGGTTTATATTATTTCAACACGAGTCCCATCACCATGTCAACTTCCCTCCATCAGTGTTCCCGTATTGCCCCCAACTCTGCCCCTTCAGTTTGACAGGCACATTACAGAGTTCCAGTGGTTGCAGCTTTTATTTCATGTTTTCAGTGTTGTTGAATCTATGTTTTGGATATATGGCTATATCACTCACCCTATAATCCTGTAATTCCTTTCTTTTACTTTATAGGTCTCTCCCCGTCTGTCATTTTCCTAAATAAAAAACTATTTACTTCCCTGAAAAAGAAAAGTAAGGAAACTCCTTAAATACCATGGGAGGAACATCATCTTGACTTTAAACCAGAGGATCCAATATATAGTCATATATATACATATAGGTGTATATATATGCATATGTATATATGTGTCTGTGAATGTAGCTTTATATTTAATTTTAATTTATTTGTGAATTTGTCCCCAAATTTTTGAGTGACACTTCAAATTTAAGTACTTTGTGAAGTAGTGAAACTAAAATAACTGTTAAAAAATAAGTCAAATAACTCTCTCAACATAATTTCCTCATCTGTAAAGTTGCTGTCCTTTCTGCAAGAACTTATAGTGAGGATTAAATGGGAGATGGATATAGACTTTTTAGCACAATGTACTGTGGTCTCCAGTAATCAGGTATGTTAGTTCTGGATACAGATGTTTTAAGGAGAGTGCCTTGAACAAAGTACATGAAATTCTTGAAATAGGACCATGACTTCGATGATCTTGCCACAGAGTATTGCACCATCTATCCTTTAGCAGAACTGCCGATGCTCTCAGAAAGTCAATGTTTAGATTCTTGAATAATCTTTATATAATAGTGTGATAATTCAAACCAGATTAAAGCCAGTTAACCATATGATTCTTCCTCCCACTCCTGTATAGAAAGTATATTTTTGGTGTAGCCTTACCTTCTAAATAGGGACTCTGCTAGCTATATTAGTGAATATTATTAATCACCTTTTCAAAAGAGTTTCCTTAGTGCTATAGTGAGATTTTTGAGAAGTACTGATTCATGGTGTTGTTCCTTGTTTTCTAAAGACACATGTTTAAACAAGCAGATTCCTTTACTGAAAGAATGCTAATTTGGTAGTTCACCGAGTAGATTTGAATAGGAGTGACAGCTTCGAAGACAGCCTTTAATTTGGTATACAAAACCAAAATTGTCAACTTTGGTTTGTTTAGCACTCTCTCCAGTACAAGCAGAAGCATACAGTAGCATCTGAGCTTAAAGAATAAGCTTTTGGGTTGAAAGTAGAAATACAATTCAGGCATAAATTTATAATTATGCATTTTTAAAATTCAGGCACAAGAAAAGGATTTTATTTGCAGAGAACTTATGGGAATGAGGCATGAAAATATAGAGAGACCAGAGATATTTGCCCTCATTTGGTAGCAGTGTTTAATAAAAGTAGAACTTGTGGTTGTAAAGAGTGCTTATTAAATTCTTCATTTACACTACCTAATTAATTCTAGCATTTTAAATTAACAGTGAAACTGGTCCCTGCTGTATCATTCCATAGATGCAGCATATTTCCTCCATCCACCCGTTGTTCAGGTTTAATTGGCTACGCTAAAAGTCAGAGAAGGAGGGAGAGATGGGACTTTGGGGAGGTGAGGAAAGAATGGGAATAGCTCCAGTGGAAGATGCGGTGAGGCCTTCTTTTGGGGTTAAGTCATAACACAGACTGGGAGAGGTGAGGTATCACACCAGGCACATTGAAAGGTTGCTAGTGGTTCAGAAGTCAGGGTAAATGACATCATAGGTATTTTTGTTGCCCTGATTTTTAACATCTCAGACCCCCCTCCTCTTTTCCTTTAACACCTCCTACAGATCTTTAATGCATCTGGATCCTGTGAAGTTTACAAGGAGTTCTAAATACCCAGTGGGAGGACTTGGGGGTAGGGAGTGGCAAAGAGATAAGAATCTTAAGATTAAGATTTTTTCAGCCCAAATTGAAAGAAAATGTAATAATATAATAAATTCCCTTTAAAAGTTATGCTTTAAAAAATGAGAAGTGAAGTCCTGACTGGTTTCTTCAATCACACACACACACACACACACACACACACACACACACACACACACTGAGGTGGGTGAAGGAGAAAAAGAGAGAAACTTTGTTGCTGGTATTGTCACTCATGGTCATGGATTGCTGATGAGTCTTCCATTTGAAAGCAGAGGAAATTTCTGGATGGACCAAGGTGTTTGGTGCTGAGGATTTAATTGTCTTCATTTATCAATTATTTTATGCTAGATGTTTGTTGATCTCTGAAAATGCATTATTTTATTTAACACTGAGAACAGCATCTATTTTCTTAGATGAGGATACTGAAGCTTGGTGAGGCTGGCTCACATACCCAGGCAGCACAGTTATTAACAGATGGTGGAGCTAGGATTCACCCTAGGATTTACTCCCAGTTTCCAAAAGCACAATTTTTATAGAAAAGCATATGCAAGGGGCCTGAGTTTAATGAAGATCCTTGCTTAACCCTTAACCCATACCCCATTAAAATGTTATATTCCTGTGAGCAAGGAGATGTTGTTTACTACTATAATTTGGAGAGTCTACCTAAAGCACAATGCCTTAAAAAGACTCTGATATATAATAGGGGGCAGAGATAATATTTTTTTTGTCTACTGGACACACGATTTAGCTTCTCAGAGAGGGGCCAAATTCACAGAAATCATCAGGTTTGATTGATTCACTTCTAGTTCTTTTGAACATCTGTTACTCATCACAGATATTAGGATTGTTGCTTTAGTTTTTTTTTAATTTTTAAAATTTTTTCCTATAATTTCAGTAATGTATGTGGTTTTTTTTTTCTGATTGTGGGATTGGTTTTTTTGTTTTTGTTTCATTTTGTTTATGGTGTGGGAGCACAGTCCAGCAGTGCTCAGGGCTCACTCTTGGATCTATGCTCAGGGATCACTCCTGGCAGGGCTTATTGGACTGACCATATGGAGTGCTAGAGATTAAACACCGGTGAGCCACATGCAAGGCAAGTGCCTTACCCACTATATTATCTCTGTATCCCCTTGGTATACAAAGTTATTACATCCAAACACCACTTTGGTAATAGGATTGTTGGGGGTAGGGGAGTTGTCTGCTTGTTTGTTATTCTAACTGGGAGAAAACACTAGAATAAAGTAGGTACCAGACAGATTAAACGTGTGTCCAGAATTGCATTCATGAGCAGTGATGGGCTGCATGAGCTGTGAACTCTTGATGCCTCTGTCTGC